AAATATGGTTCACACCTCATTTAAAAAGCCTTAAAAATAGTTTTAAAGATCGGTCGCGGTCACAGTCACCCAACAGTAACAACTGAGAAGATGAGGGCATCCCCAGTGATATCACCATTAGTGTAAATAATTTTAACTATGGCATTTGACTTATTTGTCAGCATTATAAGAATAACCCACACATAAAAAAAAATCCCCAGTCTTTACAAAGTTCAGTTACCAGCAAACACGAACCGGTCAAAGGGCACTTGTACCTTCCACTTGCAATCACCTACAAGTGTAACAACTTAGGTGGTTAGTGCTAATTAAACAGCAGCTATGGGAAAGATGTGCTGACTCAAGTGGAATCTGCTGTTGGTTGGCTGGTTGAGTTTAGGTTGTGGATGATTCAAGGATAAGGAGTAATCGCTGGGATATGTACCAGGGCTACATCACCACCTAACTTTGTTTGTTATTCACTGTTTGCAAAGCAATAAGTGTGCGCAGATAGATCCAAATATCGATAGCGTCGATACCTGTTCCGCTATTGATGTTGGATAGCAACATGATCAATGTTTATTTCTGTCCTCTAAGTTCAATATGATGTCTTAAATGTGTTAAATATTTTTCTCGGAAATGATGACAACACCTGAAGCATGCCCTATAAAAAATGTGTGAAATTTTTCTTTATTGTCTTTCATGTCTATTTTAGTTGTAGTTTATAGCACATTTTAAATAGAAAAAGCTGACCAAAGGTGCTTTAAAGACAAACACATTTATGCCTCTTTTTCCCTAGTACCTACTTGGCTTGACTCAACTCAGTTTGTAGAGTTTTCCATTATGTGGGAGCACCTGGTACCAAGTACTTGTTTAGTACCTGCTCAGCCTGGGTTCCGAGAAAAGTGAGTCAATCTAAAAATGTGCCATCAACATATTGCATGCCACCTATTGAGCAGTCAACAGCATCACTTGACAAGTTAAGAGCAACCGCCTCAGAAAAAACAAAACCACCGTTTTTGAAACCCGGCAACGAGGGAAATGGCTACACAAAAAATGAACACCGTGATCCCCTTATTCTGACAAAAACCATAGACCAAGCAGCACCATCGCCTCCTCATTCTCCATTGTTGTTTTGTGTTTGTGTCACATAAAAATGACATTGTGGAACTTTCGGTCACATTGCACACTCAGTTGTAATGGAAAACAACCAAACCGAGTCAAGTGGATACTAGTAGAATAGAGATAGGTCTCCAAAAACCCCAGTATTAAAATCCACGAAAAGCTGAAAGGTGTGTTTTATCAAGTATTGTGGAAAGTAAAAATCACGATGAATTAGTGGTCATTAGAATGTGGTCAGATGTGTTTTAAAAATCACGATGGTCATCTCATAACACATGACACTGCTCTCCCCTACATACACTGGCTTTACAGGTTAAAAGTAATGGTGTTGGTATCGGTATGGGTAATACTGGCCCTGTGTTTACTTGATATGGGAACATAGCACTACAAAGCAGCAATAGCCACAATGGCCATGAACTGCATTGTGAAATTGCTGAGGAATTTTTTGCAAAACACTTTTGTGCAATTTGAGGTTCATGTTTTTTGCATTTTGCATTTTCAGCAGGAAACAGTTACAGAGTTGATTTGTTTAGTTTAGTCAGGGTCATTGCATCATTTAGTCACAGTGATGTACAGTGGCCTAACACCACTCAAGAAGAACGCATTCAAGTAAAGATAAAGTAAGGCCCCCCTCCCTTCATTCTCGCCTGTCTCCTACAGAAGGTCGCTGCAAGTTGACCTTAGAAATGTTCCTCACACCTCCTCGGCCTCCACTGCCACTCCCCCCCTCACGCCCCGCACCAGATGGGAAGTGTAGCTGCATTTTTTTAAAGCCTGCACGCAGGGTTGCGGGCTGTTGCGCTGGCACTGGGGCTAAAGGAATGAAATATTCATGTAGCCCCCCCAGCCCTCTTTAAATAGAAGAAAAAAAAAGAATGGACATCCCGGGACGAAGAACGTGCCGATTTATTCAAGTAAGACCAGGCCTCATTAAACTGCTGGCGGCGGGGCAGGTCACGGTGATTTTCTTCACTACTACTCGACCCCGAAAGAGAGAGAGAGAGAGAGAGATCGCTGAATGCAAAATTTGTCCCAGTCACTCCTCACTACAACATCTCAGATCTCTCAGCGGACAGGTCCGTCACCGGTGCTGAAGTTGTTTCTCCGCCGTAATTGATGCCCTAATGAATGATTAGCTCTCATGTCAGAGTCAGAGCTCAGTGAGCGCCGTGGGCAGCATATGGGAGACGTGGGTGACACCGTCTCGGAGGTGCGTGGCTTGTGAGCGGTGCCAAGGGACACCAGCTGATAGGCACAGGCCAGGGGCCACGTGACCCTGAGCAAAAATTTGTAGCCTAATTTATCTTCTTCCTTCGAGGCTGGGTCTGAAAGGGGAAAAATCTTAATCTTGTAACGACAACAACGGCAAAAAAAATAACAGCAATAAATAATAAATGACGGAGTGTTTTTCTTTTCTTTCCAACTTTTCTTAATGGTTCATAAATCGCCTTCAGACAACTTATCAGTTATTGCGCCTCAGCTATAGGTGTGTCTCGATCCTTGTCTCACACCTGTTAGTTTTATTATTCTTCTGCAAATAATGAATGATTGGGCGCCTTTTACTGTTTGTTTGAGAACAAACTTGGACGTTTGTTTTCCACAACCACAGCTCTCAGCGGGTCAGAACCAATCACGAGTCGGTTACTGCGCTCGTGAGAAAGAGGCCGAAATGCATTTTCCATGGAAAGGATGATGATGACTTTATAGAAAAACACATACTTACTATAGAAATATGACTAACACACTTGTGTAATTAAAAAGAAGACAAACGTTTTCCCATACAAGCTCGCGTTTATTAATATAGACACATAATATAGACTATAACTTAATTTATTACATAATCATTCATTCTCTATACATTTTCATTCATGAGTAGGGTGAGCTTCGTTAGGTAGAGCATAGGTCGGCTATTGCACGCTCTTAAATGATTAATACTCGTCTCCTTTTAGGGATAACAAGGTCGTGATTGAGTTACAATGCACAATAGGAGAAAAAGTCGAGCTTTGTCTAATTGTTCTTTGACAGACAGGGTCAGAGGGGATTGTGCGATTGGCTGCTGCCTCCTGAGGCTACAGTGCTGTCAGGGCTGTTTGCGGGCTGGGAGTGACACCAAGGTGACTACAGGGGAGGCTGTATAAATTGTAGGCGCAGCGCAAACCACTCCAGAGACTCTGGCACCGGCTGAAGCGAAAGTGTGACCTTTATATCCTGCCGTGCACGACCACATCAGGACACTGCAGTGATGGCTGCAAAAGCAGAACTTTCGAGCTGGTCGGAGTACCCAGAGGACTTCACTCTGCTGCAGCAGCATCACCAGCAGCAGCACAACCTGGCCCACATCAGCTCCAAAGCCTGGATTTCCTCCACTTCAATCCGTGCGCTCTCAATTAGGGACGCGCACGCGGCTGCAGAGGCAGCGGGCATCTCGCGGGAGAAACTTGTGCCAGTGACCGAATTCACTGACCGCGTTACCACCAAAGGCATGACAGAGACAGACCCTGCTAAGGCGCCAGATGGATGCAAGACGAGCCACTTCGGCCCTCAGAGACACAGGCGCGTGGCGGCCAACGCCAGGGAGAGGAGGAGGATGCACGGGTTGAACAAAGCGTTTGACGAGCTCAGGAGTGTCATCCCCTCCCTGGAAAACGAGAAAAAGTTATCCAAATACGACACCCTCCAGATGGCGCAGATTTACATCACAGAGCTGTCTGAGCTCCTGGCCGGCGTGGTTCACCCAGAGTGCAGGAGTCCTCGTCCAGGCTCTGGAGACAAGACCTCCAGGAGGAGCCTGATTCACTCTCTGCTGCCAGCAGCCGCTGCACAGTCCCCGAAACCTCTGACCGGAGAGCAGCGAGACCCCTCCGCATCTATCGGTCATCTGATTTTACTTGGACCTACATCTGACATGGAATCAAATAAATCAGGCACTTGTTCCAGCAGCAGCGATGGGGAATATTCACATCTCAGTGACGCAGAGGAGGGTCAAAGCGGGAAACAGTGGCAGAAAGTCAGTGCCACTGACTTTTAACTTGTTTGGAGCTCTTTACAAGGCAGAAGATATCAGCTGACCAGCAGAGACGCTCTCAAAGTCCTGTTTTTAATAATAGTTGAGATTCTGCACTACCTGTACAGGTAAAAGTACAGGTAAAACTCAGAAAAACCTGCTTGGATGTGATGGACTCTTGCAGGCCCTTTTTATGCACTTTATACTCTGAACCATTACTAGACACATTTCCAGTTTCATTAGTGACATTTGTCAAATAAAACAAACAAAAACAATAAACAAGTATTTTTCTATTTATGTATAGCGTATTTTATGATGGCTCTTTTGGTACAATAAAGATATACTTAACATAAGAGTGTGCTTTTTAAGTGGTTTTTATATGGATATTGTCAGCAAACACATGCAGTAATTACAGCAAAACACAATGTGGGTTATTGGTTTTTCCACTCTGTTTTACAGATACTGACAGTTGATGTGACAAATCCCTCCTCACTCTGCTTAAGAAACCAAACTGATTCCAGAGAGGATGATAATGAAGATGATGTGTAGCGCATCAAACATAACAAGGCGAGGTCGTTTGTTTTCTCTCCCAGCTTTCCCATTATGAAACGGTGCGGGCAAATGCTCGCCCACCTTCTCAGTTAATGTCACATTAAAGGTATTCGCCTAGCATTCCCGCAGAAGAAAACAAAATAAATCTCTCTTTTTGGCAACAGCATTTGCAGATTAAAAAGTATTCCAGATGCATCTTTCATATAACAAGCTGCAAAAACAATCAAACACTTGTGAGCCAGAATGCCTAACTGCATGTTCCCAGTGGAGGGGATTTTATAGAAGTAAAGAAACTAATTGTGTTTTATGACAATTTATCACAGATAAAATTGTCCTGTCTAGTCTGTCTGTTAACTGATAGTCTACTGAGAAAATGTGAGGCTGCTTGCTCCGTAGGGAAGAGGAGGCTGGAACTTTGCCAAGTCCTTAGAAATGATTTCTGCCAGCCTGTGTTTAAAACTGCCAGGCACCTCTGAGGGGGTAACTTGAGCAGAGGAGCTATTGGCCTCCTCAGTCTCATTCAAATCGTCTTCATCGTAGTCTGCTTGTGTATTGTATTCTGGCTGGAAGGAGTTATTCACAGGGAGCGCATGCTGGTTTTGGGGTTTGGCTAAGGAGTAAGCGGATGATAAGGGAGGAGGTGGGGGTACAGGCAATGGTAAGGGGGGATAGGAAGGCTCCTGCTGAAGATTTGTCAGAGAATTGACTTTTTTTATCCCTGAATAAATGCAATCTGAATTATCTGCCTCGGCTTTTCTCATCAAAGGAGGCGTGCCTCTCGGTAAGTTGCAGTAAATGCTGTCCTCAATATTGTTATCCAGATTTAGAGCCTCCAGGGAATAGCACCATTCCTGCTCATCCTCATCCTCAGATTCCTCTGCCACAGCCTCGTTGCTGCCCAAGAGAGGAGGCTTGAGTGATAGCTGTTTTATCTGCTGCACAGGGTCGTCATAAATGGGGTAATCGCCGGTAAACTTGTCCTCTGTGTCGGCTGAAACATCTGGAAAACTGTAGATGGAAGGGTCGACGAAAGAGTGAGCTGTGGCAGGCGGGGGAGCAGGAAACGGGTCAATTAGTGATCTTCTGTTGGCACTGGGAGGCTGCACTGCTGTATTCCTCTCCACTGTGCACTGCTTAGATATAGTCTGAAAGATCTGGGGACCATGCTGGGTCAGAAACATGAACACGCCTTGTCCCGACTTGCAGCGACGGCCTGCTTCGATGCTGAATCCCCCCTGCAATCACAGCCAAAGATCCTCATGTTAGGAAATACATTTGCCATTTTATAAAATATGCAATACTTCAGCTTTGAATTAAATTTTTTTTTGCAGCAGCAGCAGAATAAACAAACGAGTAGCAGCATGTTAATTAGTGAGCTTTAGAGATTTTGCTGCCTTTGAACAAAGCCAGAGTAGCTGTTTTCCTCCGTTTCTGGGCTAACAAGCTGCTGGCTGTCGCTTCATATTTAGAGTACAAACAGAGTGGTAGTAATTTTTTTCTTCCAACTCTTGGCACAAAAGTCAATGAGTGTGTTTTACAAAGCTTTTCCCTTTGAGAAATTCTAAATAAACCCACTGGAATACCTGGTTTATCATCAGCATAGGGACTGCACAACATCTAGTGCTTTACCTCAATCTGACCAAATTTGCGTAGGAGCTTGTATGGCCAGTCGAAGATGATGTAACGAGTTCTCATGTCCAGCAGCTCTATTGCCTCCCCTTCTATGGAGACCAGGTACTTCCCAGACAGCTTGCACCTCTTGGACACCTCTGTGCTCTGGATGGTTACTTGGTACTGGTTTGGAGGAAGCGTCAGCTCTAAAGACAGGAACACATGACATCACACAAGGGTTAGTGTTTCGCAACTACACACAAAGGGTTGGGGTTTTTTTTTCCCCCACAAGAGGTCTGAGCAGCACAGGAAATAAATGCACACCAAATACTTTTTAATTTTGAAAAATCTGATTTAAAATTGCTTGCCTTCTACTAATCTCTCTGTGAGGCTGGCTTTTCTGGATTGTTGAGAAGTGTAATCCATTAGGAAATGAAGAGAAATGCATTTGTATAAGTCAGAGCTTGCTGACGCTGATACATTCTGGCTTTCATGTTTGAATAAATTAGCGGCTGTAGCGCCCGCTCCCATATATATAGGGGATTTCTGCTGATGTCTTGAATTTATGATGCTGTGAAATATTTCCATCCATTTTCTTCTCTGCTTATCCTACTGAAATATCTCTTTTTTATTATAATATACTCACAGGTTTAGGCTTATTAATGGGGAATTTACAAGTAATAATAATAAATCAAATTATCGCCCATTATATCCTTTGGTTGTGGAAGCACTTCAGTCACCAAGTTACCTGCTGACGTCAGCTGAGTAATTTTGCTACAGTGTTGGAAACCGGAAGAAACGTCACTGATCAGAGAGTCAGACAGACTGTTAAAGGATTTGTTTGAAGGTGATCTATCGTTAGTGCTTGTAAAATCTGTGGGAAGGCAAAAACACTGGGTAAAGCGGGCTGCCTTTGAAACAGGAAGTTGGTCTTAAGCTGTGGTTTTGCTTACGATGAACCCTTGTGGTGCATTTCTTAACCTGTCTGACGTATATTTGAGGGCTGTACAGTGATGCTGAGCTTGGTGGGGGGGACGCAAACGTATTCATCATTTTTAGAACATAACTGCCCTCGCAGGGGTTGTTTATCTTTTCATTTATATCACTTCCTGCTTAAAAATAAAACAAACAAAAAAAAAACCCCCAACCCTGCAAGTACCTTCCTCAAAACATGCGATAAAGTGGCACAGGTCGTTAAGTTTTGTAAGCTTATTAAAGCCTTTGATAGTTTAATGTGAGCTAGTACACCGCAATAAAACCCTGATAAAGAAACGGCTGGCCATATTTATAACTGGGGAGTAAGTCGAAGTATTTTTGTAATGTAACTTTTCAAATCTATTAGCAGTGTAGCAAAAATGGGCTAAAATGAAACACCAGTAAAATGCAAGCTGATTGCTGGAGGAGGTTGGCGTTGACGAAGGAGTCAAACACCATACTTTTAGCTCTATAGTTATGCTTATTATTGGGGAATTTGGAAGTAATAGCAACAAATGTAATTTTTAGCTATTATATCCTGACTTTGAAACTAGGTTTCTCAAAACATGTGATAAAGTGGCATAGGTGTGTTATTTTAATTAAAATAGACCCTTTCACAACAATAACCTTGAGTTAATATTACTTGTATCAGAAATTCTGGCAACGTGTTCCTGTGTGCAAATAACATTACTATGGACACCTGATTGCTTCTCTGTGCCATGCTCCTGGATGTAAATAGCCACACTGGCTCTTCCAACCTGGGTGTGAATAGTAAATTAGTAAAATAAAGAAAAGTCTAAAATAGTTCCTTGTATATTCGGGGGGGAAATTACACCAACCTTCCCCTTTTTCTTACCTCATCTTCTAAGACTAGTAGTTTTCACGCACTCTCTTATTAACCAGTACACAGAGTTCAACAGGTGTGTGTAGGACGAATAGACAAGCTACAGAAATAAGACCTGCACATTTTTATTTGTTTTCGATTTCTTGTGCCTGATCCCTAATCATGTGTAGACATGCTTGCATTACCGCTTTTCCAAGATGCGTAAAGATCATTGTCCGCCATGGTCAAGCCATTATCTTGCTCAAAATCCCCTTTGTCTGATTCTCCAGGATCCTTCTGTAAACAGTGGCATGGTAAACATTACATGGAGTGTACAAGTACCTCTTATCACTGTTTTATGGCTTTAAAGTGGTAAGATGCAAGAAGGTACATAGCTTGTGCAAGCACAAGAATTAGAGAAGTAAAAGGGACAGAAGTTACAGATACTGCATTAACTTCCTTATTATGCTACTTGTCTCTGGACGTGGGCAGAGTCTGTCCTTACTGACCTTTCCCAAAAATTAAAACCTAACCAGTGACATAAAAGGAAAGGTCATATTTGTACTGTTCAGGATTGGAGATGTGTGATACCTGGAAGGCTAGATGACAGAGGGCATTCACCCAGTCCTGGCTTGATGTGGAGGCTAAGATGTAGGTTGACTGTGTGGTGTTTAGGTAGAAGGCCGTGCAGCCAGCCGGGCAAGACTCCTTTGGTGCAAACGTGACACTGAGACAGTCAATTAGACGCACGACTTTTCTTTCTGGTGTTTTCTGTCGGCACATCCTTTTCTGCTCGGTAACACAGCTGCTGTCAGCTAGAGCATAGAACTCCAATCGGCCAACCCCCTGAGAGCTGGGTTTATAAAGCACCATCCACATTTTCCGCCATGTTTTCTGATGAAATGATAAAAAGTGACTATTAATAAGTGGGAGGTAATAAGATATTAAGCAAGAATGGCATCTTTCCTTTGTGGCTACCAAGTGGCTACACACACACACACACACACACACACACATACATACATACATATACATATATATATACATATATATACACATATATATATACATATATATACACATATATACACATATATATATACACATATATATATATATATATATATATATGTGTGTATATATATATGTGTATACACATATATATATACACACATATATATATATATATATATACACATATATATATACACACATATATATATATATACATACATATATATGTTATATATATATTATATATATATATATATATATATATATATACTATATATATATACATATACATATATATATATATATGTATATATACATATATATGTATGTGTGTATCATTATTTACTATCTGTAGGAGATCTTAAGTAGAAATGGTCCTCTGTCCATCACAGGTTACTTTCACAGAACAAATGAGCCGCTGTTCAGTGATGCCAGGATGTTCACAAACCACAGCCTGACAGATACAAAACAGCTGTAAGACTTAAATACTATGATACACAGGTATAGTAAGTCTTGGTTATTGATATTTAACGCTGTTTAGTATATAAAAGAACAAATATAAGATCTTTACTACTTTATCCACATATCCACGCATGACTTTTTAAACATTCAACAGATTTAGCTTCACACTCGCCTTTCTCTTACTTAATGTAGCGGAAGGATTATTCATTTTCATGTAGGTTAATGTTCCTGTGACTCTACTGCTGCCAAACTGGGTTAAAGGATGAAATACTCACACTGATCTGAGTGCATGAGCGTTCGGTTATACACTAAAGTTTTAGACTTTCATGAAATACTAAAAATGATTTTGAGATACAGCTATTGGTTATGTCAGCGTTTAACAAATTAAATGGGACTAAACATTTCCATTAGATTTACTACTAGAGTCACTAACGCCTTTTGATCAACTAGCAGGTAAGAAACAAGTCGATATATTCCACATGTGATGAATGCCTATAAAACTTACTTTTCCAAATTTGACAGCTTGAAGGTACAGCATTCCCTCTTTGAAGATGACCTCCATGCTTGTGAGCGCTGACTGTGAAAACCTGTAGTCTCTTACACCAGTCACTGCTCTGTGGCCAAGATGAAACTGCCAACGAAGTTAAAATTAGGTTCCTTTGGCCACAAGAATAAATGTTTCCTTTACGTCACTAACAGCCTTTATTTTCTTGCATACTTTGGTGTGTGATAAAGTATCTCTCTGATCTGCGTTTTAGCTGTTGCAAAAGAAAGGACATGAGTTGTGTGCTGCTGTTGTCTTGTGTCAACTTCCCTTTGCATTTGTCTATATCTTGTAGCAACTTCCTCACCATACCACACTTAAGCCACACCTGTCACTTTTTCCAGAAGACACAGACAAAAGAAATGTACACAAAAGAAAAACAAGAACAAATATAGTGGTTTTATTTACAGAGCTGCAGAAATCTATGCTACAAAGTGAGAAAACTGACGGAAAGGCGAAGCAATCGGTCATCTCATCTACAATGTTGGGAGGGTTATAATATCCACTTCCTTTCTTCGGTGATGTGACACATTGCTGTACAGTTTCCTCAGAAATGCTTTCAAGTTTTGTTCAGCACTGGAGAATCTTGCCCCTAATGAAAGACTCTTAGAAGTCCATTGAGCTATGAGCCAGGTAGTCTTTCCTTCCAATGTTGGTGACCTGCTTGGTCTGCATGGCCTCCAGCTTGGGACAGTCTGTAATACGATGACCAAGACCACCACAGAATGTACATCCTCTCTCGCCTGAAGAAAGAAAGAAGAATCTGATGTAAGGAAAGGATTGTAAAGAATGCAACTGGCTTCAGTCATATCACACGAGGCAGTCAATATTCAAAAAGAAACCAAAAAACATGATTAAGGAGTAGCTATTGAGGTGGGACAACTCGCCTCCGATGTCCAGCATGGTCTCGTCTCCGGTCTGGAGTACCTGGAGGACTGGAGGAACTTTCTGCTTGGCTTCAACAAGCAGAGCTTTCAGATCCATCAGAACGGATTCATCTATAAACAAACACATAGACTGGTTAAATTTTAACTGTACTTAAACACTGATCCACCTAACTAAATTTATTACAATAAGTTATTTCCCATTAAAAAGCCGGCACCACTTCAGCTATGCCATGCCTGTATGAGTAAATTACCATGTTTAAAACCATACAGTGGTGTTTCAAAGACATCCAGTATCTGTAATTACTGGACAAACCTTAATGACGTTACTTTTTTACTTTGGTCAGCGACATAAATAGAGCATGGCTTACACTGGCTAGCATTCTCAGAGAGGTTACTCTCCCTCCTTAGTAATCAATCTAATTTTATCTTTAGGTTGTGTCCTTACCGCAGCCTTTATTGATGAAAGTTGTGGCAATTCCAGTTTTGCCCGATCGTCCAGTTCTTCCTATTCTATGGACTGAAACGGGAAAATTTTGTCAAATCAGCCTGAGAAATTTTAGAAGAACTAACAAATACGTGATGAAGGTAAAGCCATATGCATATTATTCTCTTACCATAGTTTTCTATCTCTTCTGGCATGTCATAGTTCACTACATGCTGAATAGCTGGGAAATCCAGACCCTTGGAGGCAACATCAGTGGCCACTAACACATCTTTTTTTCCTTCTTTGAATGCTTCAATGGCTTTTGTTCTTTCCTCTTGATCTGGAAAAATACAGAAATTTATCTCAATAAAAACAACATTTTCTAAGAAGTAGAAACAATTCTGCATCACCGGAACCCATGAAGCAGAAACCATGAAGGTGACATTTGCAAGAAAGATGGCATCTAGTGGTGATGATGAGCAACTACAAAACAACAAAGATATGGCTTTGCACATACTAAATACATTTACCAGCCACTTGATTAGGTACACCTGGCAGAATTTCAATGCAGTCAGGCATGCAGACATGGCCAAAATTACTTGCTGAATTTCAAACTGAGCATTATGTAAATGACTTTCCGCATGAGATACTTACTGGTACCGAAAGTGCTGACTTACTGGGATTTTCTCACACAACCATCTTTAGGGTTTACAGAGAATGCTGCCATCCTGCCTTATATCAACGATTCAGGCTAATGGTGGTTGCACATAGAGACACAATTTGGGCCCCTTAGTGCCAACTGAACACTATTTAAACACCACAGCCTACCTAAATATTCCTGCTGACCAAGTCTTTCCCTTTAAGACCACAATATATCCACCTTCTACTTGCTGCTTCAAGCAGGATAAACCTCCAGGTTGCAAAGCTCAGATTATCTCAAGCTGGTTTCTTGAACATAACAGTGAGTTCACTGAACTCAAATGGCCCCCACAGTCACCAGATCGCAATCCAACAGAGCACCTTTGAGGTGTGGTAGTACAGGGGAGTCACATCATGGATGTGCAGCCGACATATCTGCAGTAATTGTGTGATGCTATTGCAATCACGTCAATATGGACCAGAGTCTTTGAGGGATGTTTCCAGTAGCTTGTTGAAGTTGCCATAAAGAATTAAGGCAGCTCTGAAGGAAAAAGGTTCCAAGGTTTCATGGTACTAGCAAGGTGCACATAATGAACTGGCACTCTGACAATGATTTAAATGAAATATTTAGACTCTGCATACCTTTTCCACCATGTATGGCCACTGCCTCTACTCCTTTAAGCAGCAGATACTCATGGATGGCATCTACATCCGCCTTTTTCTCAGCAAATATCAGCACCTGTCAGAATGAAAAAGGACTTGTGACGTGTTGCTTTAATTCTTTATAAGAACTCTTTATAAAAGTGTCAAACACGTGAAAGTACGAACTGGAGGAGACGTTTTCTGGAGACACTCTAAGAGGTACACCATCTTAGCCTCTTCTTTGACGTACTCCACTTCCTGCACACACATAAAAATATTTATTTCATTAATATTTTTACATATGCATTTGGAAGGCAAACCATATCTGTGACTGAGACAAACGACTATTTTAGTGAAAGATAAAGTCACCTGGATGACATCCAAGCTGGCAGCTCCTGCTCTGCCCACGTTAATAGTAATGGGTTTGACTAGTGCACTCTTGGCAAAGTTCTGGATTTTCTTGGGCATAGTGGCACTGAAAAGCAGGGTTTGTCTTTGACCCTAGATTAGGAAACAAACAGAAAGCAAATGTTTTCATGAAAAAATTGGCATGAAAATATAAAATCCAGCATCAACTGGAAGAAATATTTCTTTGCAACTGCTAGTAGAGCTTATATTATGAAGAAATGTATTACCTCTGAAAGTACTATGACTACCTGGAAACTGATGTCTCAAAAGCAGTTAAAGTCAGACTGAATAGAGAACTTTAGTGAGTGCAGTAACAACAAAAAGCCTATTGTACTCTGCCAAGGTGTGGATTTGTGAAACAAGAAAAAAGGAATTTATTGTTATGTTTGAGAGAAGCAGAGGAATCTCAGTTCTCTAGTGTAATAAACATTATGCTGTCTGGCCTTGGTAGGCTGGCTTTGTAAAGCTACTTATCTGGTGAAGGATAGAGCAAGCACAACACAGAAAAATGGATGAGGAAAAACTACTGCAATAGTGCTGTAACATTTAAAAGCTAGAGCCATGAAGGACTGCCTCACCTTGAAGTAAGAGAAGATGGTTCGGATGTCTTCTTCAAAACCCATATCTATCATCCTGTCAGCTTCATCCAAAGCCAAGTAGCGACAGATGTCCAGACCCACCATCTTCTTCTGCAGCAAGTCCATCAATCTTCCAGGTGTAGCAACCATCATATGGACGCCGCTTTAACCAAGACAGAGTTGGAGAGAAAATTAGTCCACAACATCACATGACATTTTGGCTTTTTAAAGTGTAGTAGTGTAGTACTATCAGTGTTTAGGTAGTAATGCTTTTGAGCTTTATGCATGCTGTACGTTAAAGCACTGATTCAGGAACACGTCACTTTTTTTGTTCCTCGCTGAACGTTAGGGCTGAATCGTGCAATTTTTTGCTTGACACTGAAATGGGAATTCTGGTTGAAATCCAGATTTTTTTCACAACACCTTCAGCTGTACTTACTGTTTTACTACCTCCATCTGCTCCTTGACAGACATTCCTCCGATGCAGAGGGCTGTGCGCAGCTGAGGAGCTCCCTCCTCCTCCAGCAGCTTGCAGTAATACTCTATGATGCCATGTGTCTGCCTCGCCAGCTCTCGCTGCAATAACACACCGGGTTATAAAACACACATACAGGATTCAGGAGTCAGAGGGATGAGAAAAACAGAGGTTCTCAAAGCTAATGTCATCTTTTCCAAAGGGCACGAAAAATTCACAGTGCATGAATATTTGAAAAGGCTTTGTTTCCTCTATTTAGATCATAGTATGCTACAACTGCCCATAATTAACAGTATTGGTAATTACCTATATTATTTTTTTATGTTACATTTTATGTTACAGTGGAACCCCGACTTACGAATACCTCATTTAACGAAAAATTCAAGTTACAAAGGCACTTAACGGCAATATTTCTGCCCGTGTTACGGCAAAATGCCTGTGTAACAAAATCCGTTGCCTCTAATTGGCTGAGCCCAGAATACCCACAATGCCTTCCGAATCATGTGACAACCCCCTTGGCTTTCGTACTTGCGCTTCGCTGTTCCACTTGAACGATGTATTGTTGTTGCAGTTAGCAATTAGCCTATAGCCCATCGTTCACTCAAGAGGTGCGATGGGTGCTTCGACTTACGAAAATTTTCGACTTACGAAAGACCCTCGGGAACGAATTAATTTCGCAAGTCGGGGTTCCACTGTATCATTTATTAATTTGGCAGTATGCACAAGTTCATTAATCAAAATGATATTTATACAGCTAATATATAATTATTGTTAATGATCAATTTCCAAATTTTAAGTTTTACAAAAAAGCAGAAACATTAGTAAACTACTTGTTTTGTTTTTTTAAAATTGAGATGCCAATTGTAGTGTTTTCTTACATTCCTGCACAGAAAAATTAATTTTGTGGTTCAATGTTTTTCTTCGTCCAGTTTCTCAAATTTTTCAAGGATGTATTTTACATCATGCCGAGATATGTCAGGTTTTTCGCTAATAGCTCTTTCGGAATCACCTCATTGGTGCAAAAATATAATTTTTATGAATGTCAAACTGTCATCTTTGGGAGTTATTTGCAGGCACTGTTTTATTTGTATTGAATTACACCTGCCTACGACAGTAAGCACTATCTTCAGCTATAGTTTAGCTAAGGTTTCTTTTTAGTAGCAAGGCCTCTGGAAAGAGACTTTAGTGCTGAAATATACACTTTGAGTATTTGATTTTGAGGAGATAGCACTCCTAGAGTACAAACATGAAAGTGGCCCCACATGAGG